AGAATTTCATCTTGGAATTCAGAGAGACCGGGGCGCCTGCAAATGGGGGGGGGGACGGACTTTCGCCTGGGAACTGTAGTATTTAATGCTGTGCCCAGGGGTCATTTCGTAGAAAAAGAAGTGCAGGAGCTCATTAGCATAACTCATTAGCATAACTCATTTGCATAGGCCACACCCCCTGACATCTCCAGAAGTGTGTCAGACGGCAACACCCACCGCTCAGGCTCCACTGGACTCTTTTGGTTTGCTAGCTATGGGGGGGGGGGGAACGTGTAGATCTGTCCTCGCAGAGGAGGGAGAGCTTGTACCTGAATAAAACGTGGTCTTAAAGGTGCCACTGGACTCTTTTGGACCAGGGGGCCGGGGGGGGGGGGCTCTGCAGCTTACCTGGCTGCTTCTTGCTCTGACTGAGGGCTGCTGGGAGCAGGGGGTGGGGCTTGTTGCATGTGCCCGCCCCCTGGGCTCTTTACTGCCGGAGCTCCGCTCCTGTGCGCTCCCGCGGGAAATGACCCCTGGCTGTGCCCAGTGCAGCAGGGGGCACCCCACTGAGCAGCTGAGACATGGGGTGGCCAGAGGGGGGCAGATCTGCCAGCAGTCACGTGGAGTCTGGGCGTCCATCCATGAGGAGCCCTTGCTGGACACCAAATAACACGCCGGAGGAGCAGATCCTCGCAGAGGGGACGGGGTTAGGGTGCCCGCTGCCCCCTCCCAGCATTCGCGTCTCCTGCGGCGGATGAAGAGTGCCCCCCCCTCCGCCCTGCCCCTCATCCTCCGGCTCCTCTCCGCAGGGCCCAGGCGCTTGTGGGTCCCCGAGGGCCGCCTGCCCCCCTGCACGCTGCAGCAGGCCCTCACCTTCTTCCTGGACATCACGACCCCGCCCAGCCCCCAGCTCCTGCAGCTCCTGGCCACCCTGGCCGAAGACCCCGCCCAGCAGAAGCAGCTCCAGCAGCTCAGCCAGGTAGGGGGGGAGGGCGAGGGGGGGAGGGCATCCCCACAGCTGCCTGGGGGGCTGGGGCAGGGCCCGGGGAGGGGAGGGGGGCCCAGCTGTGACCTGGCAGTGCTGGACGGAAGGGCGCAACCCCCCCTCTGCGCCTGCCAACGAGGATGCTGCTCAAGGTGGCCTTGCAGGGAGAGAGAGAGAGAGAGAGAGAGAGAGAGAGAGAGAGGGTCCAGCCAGCCGGGCAGGTGCCTCGGAGGGAGGCCCTCGGGGCAAGGGGTGGGGCGAGCAAGGAGGAGGGTGCTAGGAGCTGGACGGAGCTGCGGGGTGTGTGTGCAGACTCTAATCTGGGAGGACCGGGTTTGATTCCCCACTCCTCCTCCACTTGCACCTGGCTGGATGGCCTTGGGCAAGCCGTAGTTCTGATAAGAGCTGTTCTTGAAAAAGGGCAGTTTTGGTCAAGAGCTCTCTCAGCCCCACCCGCCTCACAGGGGGTCTGTCTGTTGTGGTAAGGGGAGGGGAAGGTAAAGGAGTCTGTAAGCCACTCTGAGAAGGGCCATGGGGTATGAATCCAGTCTCCTCCTCCTCCTCCCAAGTACGTCCAGGGTTGCTGTGCAACCAGTTTGGTATAATGGTTAGTAGCGTGGACTCTAATCTGGGAGAACCAGGTTTGATTCCCCAATCCTCCTCCACATGCAGCTGCTGGTGTGACCTTGGGTCAGTCACCAGTTCTCTCAGAGCTGTTCTCTCAAGGGCAGTCCTCGAAAGAGCTCTCTCAGTCCCACCTCCCTCACAGGGGGTGTCTGTCTGTTGTGGGGAGGGGAAGGGAAAGGAGTTTGTGAGCCGCTCTGAGGCTCCTTCGGGTAGGGAAGGGCCCTGGGGGATAAATCCAGTCTCTTCTTCTCTTCTTCTTCTTCCCCCCCGCCCCGGCAGGACTCTCGCCTCTACGAGGAGTGGAAGTGGTTCCGCTGCCCCACGATGGTGGAGCTCCTGGAGGACTTCCCCTCGGTCGCCCTGCCGGCTTCCCTGCTCCTCACCCAGCTGCCCCTCCTGCAGCCCCGCTACTACTCCATCAGCTCCTCGCCGGGGGCCCACCCGGGGCAGGTCCACCTCACAGTCGCCGTGCTCAGCTACCACAGCAAAGGTGACCGCAGGTGCCTCGGGTCCCCCGGGGCAGGGGGTGTCGGGCATGCGCCTGTCGGGGGGGGGGGGAGGACAGGGCACAGGCAGGTTCAGAGGAAAACAGGGGAGGAGGCGGCCCGGCCAGGCAGTCTTGAAATCCAGGCTACCAGGAGGGCCAGTCTGGCGGTGCAGAATGCCCCGGGGGCAGAGCCCACAGCGCGTGGGGGAAGATCCAGGTCAGCCCTGGCAGAGCAGGGGAGGGATGCTTGGTGCCCCTGTCTTCCCAGTTTGGTGTCGTGGGTTAAGTGTGCGGAGTCTAGTCTGGGAGAACCACCTCCGGAGAGGAAGCCTGTTCCCCCGAGGGACTGCTCTGACTGTCAGGAAGTTGTTCCTAACAGTTTGGTGCAGTGGTTAAGTGCCAGTTTGGTGCAGTGCTTAAGTGCACGGACTCTAATCTGGGAGAACCGGGTTTGATCCCCCACTCCTCCTCCACTCACAGCTGCTGGATGGCCTTGGGCAAGCCGTAGTTCTGATAAGAGCTGTCCTTGGAAAAGAGCCAGTTTGGAGTCGTGGTTAAGTGCGCGGACTCTAATCTGAGAGAACTGGGTTTGATTCCTCACTCCTCCTCCAATTGCACCTGGCTGGATGATCTTGGGCAAGCCGTAGTTCTGATAAGAGCTGTTCTTGAAAAAGAGCCAGTTTGGTATAGTGGTTAAGTGCGCGGACTCTCATCTGGGAGAACCGGGTTGGATTCCCCAGTCCTCCTCCACTTGCACCTGCTGGATGACCTTGGGCAAGCCATGGTTCTGACAAGAACTGTCCTTGAGAAAGAGCAGTTTCTGTCAGAGCTCTCTCAGCCCCGCCTACCTCACAGGGTGTCTCCTGTGGGGAGGGAGAGGAGTTTGTCAGCCGCTCTGAGACTCCCTTGGGTAGTGAAGGGCCATGGGGTATAGATCCAGTCTCCTCTTCTTCTCCTTCTTCATCTTGCTTGTCCCCCCCTCTCTCCCACAGATGGGAAGGGTCCCCTGCACCATGGAGTCTGCTCTACGTGGCTTTCCCAGCTGGCACCTGGGGAGATGGTGCCAATTTTTGTCCGAGGGTAAGAAAATGTGAGATTGGGCTGGGCACCAGCTGAGGGAGAAATGTTCTGACTGGTCTAAGAGGGCAGGTGGGCAGGGAGCCCTCAGTCCGTGTAACTGGAGAGCCCCGTAGGAACTGGTTGTCTAGGAGAGACTTCAGCTCCCAGCATGCACTGTTCCTGTACTGGAAACTACGGTTACCAGCATGCTCCTGTTCCACAGACGGCAACTCCCAGCTTGACTTGCACCCACCAAGGGGGTGGCACAGTCCCACCGGCATTCACCGACTGGCCCTTTCAGGACTCAGTGACCAGTGTTCCCTCTAAGCCCCACAGTGCCGGGAGCAAAAATCCTACCTCCTGAGTGAAAACAGCTGGTAGCGTTACCGTTGTGAGCGAGTCTGCTATCGCATCAATTAGTTTCTTAGATGATTATTACCGTAACCTTGTAAAAGTCTCAGAATGAATTCTTTTAAACTGCATTTTAAGAATAGTTTAAGCATTAGAATAGAAAACAGAATCAAGTCAGATTTCATGACAGAAATTTTTGTCCTCTATGGGGGTAGGCCAGGCCTCTGGAGAATATTGGGAGCAAGGCTCCCTCTAAGCTGTGGAGTCTTGTGAGCAAAAATTCTACTTTGTGAGCTACTGGCATTAAAGCTGTGAGTGAGCAATTTGGCTCCTGCATAAATCAGTTTGCTCTGGAGCCATCCCTTCCTGAACGAAGAGAGAAATGTGTGAGCCGGAGGCGAAAAGACTGTGAGCTAGCTCACACTCACTCAGCTTAGAGGGAGCACTGATTGGGAGACCTGGCCTCCGGACAACAGGTCTACCTGACCCAGTCCACTATATTGGGAGACCTGGCCTCGGACCATCACCCTGCGCTGAACCTTAGAAAACATACCAGCACTTTGTTGTTGTTGTTCAGTCGCACAGTCGAGTCCGACTCTTTGCGACCCCATGGACCAGGTCACGCTAGGTCCTCCTGTCTTCCGCCGTCCTCAGTTGGCTCAACTTCATGTTCGTTGCATCTGTGACGCTGTCTGACCATCTCATCCTTTGCCGTCTCCTTCTTCTTTGACCTTCAATCTTTCCCAGCCTCAGGGCCTTCTTCTCCAGTGAGTGCTCCCTTCTCATTGGGTGGCCAAAGTATTTGAGCTTCAGTTTCATTATCTGGCCTTCCAGGGAACAGTCAGGGTGGATTTCTTTTAGGATTGACTGATTTGATCTCCTTGCAGTCCAAGGGACTCTCAGGAGTCTTTTCCTGCACCACAGTTCAAAAGAATCTATTCTTCGGCGCTCGGCCTTTCTTATAGTCCAACTCTCGCAGTCATACATGACTTAGGTAGGAATAAACTCTTGCAGTCTACTTTGGGGTTTTTTTTTTAGTGAAATATGACTAATTTACAGGTCAAATATAACAGAGGAGAAACAACAATGGTCAGAATCCTGCCTAACCTAACAAACAGGAAGCTGCTTAAATGTTATCAACCTGCCCAAACAACTTATTTATTCAAACATTTGTATCCAACTTTCCCCTGTGACTCAAGGCATCTTACAATTCATACTGAAAAACATAATAGGGATGTGCAAAAAAAATTTGATTCCCCACCCTGCTCCATTATAGTCAGTTATAGACCATTATAGAGCCAGTTTGGTGTAGTGGTTAGGAGTGTGGACTCTAATCTGTGAGAACTGGGTTTGATTCCCCACTCTTCCACATGCAGCTGCTGGCGTGACCTTGGGTCAGTCACAGTTCTGGCCCCGCTGGTGGACCTCCTGATGACCCCTGGTGTTTTTGGCCACTGTGTGACACAGAGTGTTGGACTGGATGGGCCATTGGCCTGATCCAACATCGACTACTCTTGTGTTCTTATGTCTGGGGCAAGGGATGCTTTGTTTTACTGGTTCTTGGGGGGGCAAGAGTGGGAGGGCTTCTAGTGTCCTTGCCCCACTGCTGGACCTCCTGATGGCCCTTGGTGTTTTTGGCCACTGTGTGACACAGAGTGTTGGACTGGAGGGGCCACTGGCCTGATCCAGCATTGGCTTCTCTTGTGTTCTTAGTATCTGCGCTAACAGCTTCAGGGTCACCGACTGACTTGAATGGCTGAGTGTAGCCTCTCTAGTCCTGTTGGGGCTCTCTAGCTGCACACAGAAACAGGCGTTCTGGCAGCGATTCATGCAAGCATTGTGCCATCCACCCTTCTTTTTACATGCCTGCCCATATATTAAGATTATAATCCACTTTGAGCCGTTTTGAAAAACGAATAAAATAAACAGGGAGCGGGGAAAGTGCCCAGGAGACGTCGTTTGATCAAGAAGCTCCACCGTCCTAGATTTAGATACTAAGTCTGCAAACTGTGCATAGACGCTTTTGCATGTATTTATTTATATCTCGCTCTTTCTCCTCAGTTGTGACCCAGAGCAGCTTTTTTGAACACCATTCTCCTGTCCTTCATTTTCTCACAACAGCCACCCTGTGAGGTAGACTAGGCCGAGAGTTTATATTTTGATAAACATCTGGAGCAGAGGTCCATCAGTAGCTATTAGCCACAAGGTATAGATAGGAACTCTCAGTCTGGGGCAGGTGATGCACTGTATTCTTGGTGCTTGGGGGGGGGGTACTGCTGGACCTCCTGATGGCACCTGGTATTTTTTTGGCCACTGTGTGACACTGGGTGTTGGATTGGCTTCTCTTCTGTTCTTATGTTCTCTCGGAGCTATTCTGGAAATAGCAGTTCTTGAAAGTGCTCTCTCAGCCCCATCTCCCTCACAGGATGTCTGCCATGGGGAGGGGAAATGAGATTGTAAGCCCTTCTGAGACTCCTTCAGATAGTGAAGATAAAGGTAAAGGTTCCCTTGCTCGAAAGCCAGTCGAGTCCGACTCTAGGGTTGCGGTGCTCATCTCCGTTACAAAGCTGAAGAGCCAGCGCTGTCCGAAGACGTTTCCGTGGTCATGTGGCCGGCATGACTAAACACCAAGGCGCACGGAATGCTGTTACCTTCCCACCGAAGTGAAGGGCAGGGTATAAATCCAATCTCCACCTCCTCCTCCTCCTTCCCCCATAGGCTGTAATGGAGAATCGGTCTTGGGGCTCTGGGAGGCTGCTTTTGAGGTAGAGGCACCAAATTTGTAGCATAGCTGCTGGTTCCTCTCCTAAAAAAGCCCCCCAACTTTCAAAAAGATTGGACCTGAGATTGCCTGAGCTGGCAGCTAACATTTTGTGCGTCAGCACCCCCTAGTGCGTCTTAGAGGGAACACTGAACATATGAACATAAGAACATAAGAGAAGCCAATGTTGGATCAGGCCAAATGGCCCATCCAGTCCAACACTCAATGTCACACACTGGCCAAAAATACCAGGGGCTATCAGGAAGTCCAGCAGTGGGGAGGGATATCCACAAAAGGAGTTGGTAGAGATCCATTTAAATAAACAGTATTCACCCGCCAAAATCTTCAATGTGACATGGAAAATAGTCCTCAAAACACACGCACAAAAAAAAAATACAAGTTCACCACATTAAAAGTTCGGGTGGCTGTTGCTTGTGAGGGCATGAGACCATGCCCCCTCCATTCCGCGGTCCCGCTTCAGGGCGATAGCGGACACCCCCCCGCGTGCCAAAATCGGAGTGGGGCCGCCACAAGCCCTCTGCTGCTAACTCTCCCTCCAGGAAAGTTAGGAGAAGCCCACCCGGTTGACCGGGGGGCTCCTAGAACACGCGAAAGGCTCCGGCAAAGCGCTACCGCGCCCGCCCGTCGCAACGCCATACCGGAAGTCCAAAAAAAAACTTTTAAACTGATCTGGTATTCAACTTAGAACCAGTGCAGCTGGCAGAGCACTGGTTGTATGTGGGGTCTAGATGTCTAGATGGAGTGCTTAAGTGCACACGCCCCACTGCATTCTGGACCAGTTGGAGTTTCTAGGTCAGTCTCAAGGGTAGCCCTGCATAGAGCTACAGTAGTCTAGTCTGGAGGTGACCATTGTGTGGATCACTGTGGCTCAGTCGGGGCGAGACAGGAAGGGAACAGGTTGCTGGACCTGGTGCAGATGGGATAATGCCAGCCTGGCAACATGTGTAATCTGAGCCTCCATTGAAAGGGAGGCATCCAGAAACACTCCTAAACTCTTCATAAGTGCCATTAGTGTTAATGGCTTACCATCAAGGGCTGGAAAATGGCATCCTAACCTGGGGCTCCCTCTTGTTCTTTTATCCTGTGATTTTTGAGCTCACTTAGGAGCCTTTGATGAGGAACTTTATCAAAAGCTTTCTGGAAGTCAAGGCAAACAATATCTATTGGGTCCCCCTTGTCCACATGTTTGTTCACCCCCTCAAAGAACACTAACAGGTTAGTGAGACAAGATCTTCCCTTACAGAACCCATGCTGAGTCTGCCTCAATAGTTTTTGTTCATCTATGTGCCTACTAATTCTTTCCTTAATAACAGTTTCCACCAATGTACCCGGTATCGACGTCAGACTGACTGGCCTGTAATTTCCCGGATCTCCTCTGGAACCCTTTTTAAAGATGGGAGTGACGTTAGCTACCTTCCAGTCCTCAGGAATGGAGGCAGATTTTAAGGAAAGATTACATATCTTTGTCAGGAGATCTACAAGTTCACATTTGAGTTCTTTCAGAACTCTCGGATGTATGCCATCTGGGCCTGGTGATTTTTCAGTTTTTAAGTTGTCTATCAGTTTTAGGACCTCCTCTCTCGTCACCTCAATCTGACTCAGGTCTTTCAACACCCCTCCTGAAATCAGTGGTTCTGGAGTGGGCAAGCACTTCTCATCTTCCACAGTGAAGACAGAGGCAAAAAATGCATTCGGCTCCTCAGCCATTTCCCTATCATCCTTCACTACTCCTTTTACCCCTGGATCATCCAAGGGCCCCACTGCCTCCCTGGCTGACGCTCCCCTCTCCCCCACTCTGCCCTCCTCAGGTACCACTCCCAAACCTGCAGGAATTCCCCATGCTGGAGTTGGCAACCCAAGCTCACACACAGGGTATCTCTGGCATTGG